TGCTGAGGGGACGCACCATGGCGGGCGTGGGCGAGCGGGCGGCCGTCTCGGCCACCTCGGAATCTTACACGGGCCGCGGCTCTTCCACGCCAGGCGTGGGCGGGCGGGCAGAGCAGACGCCCCGTTACACCTTGGGGCTTCTTCAGACGCCGCACAGCTCGAAGAGCACCGGGGGCTCCTCCAGCGGCGGGGCACGGCCGGCAGGCTCCAGCGGGGAAGGCCTCGCAGCCGCCCGGGCCGCCGGGAGCAGCGCGGGGAAGCCGGCTGTTTCCGAAAGGGGAGGTACGCTCTCTGCCGGGGCCTTTATCTGTCTCTTTACCCTCCTGCTCTCTTTGCTCCGGTCGGGTTCCGAAAGAGCTGTTAAAAGCGGTGCCTACTGAGGTGGGGTAGCACCAACTAGCCCTCGCAGCCGGCAAGAACAATGGAAATCGTTCCTTGCACTTCTTTAAAGAAATCTCTTTCTTTTCTTTAGACAGTAGTAGCTGAGTTCTCTGTGGGATCAATAAACGTGTTTGAGTTGCTGCAATAGTGTTTGCTTTACAGGAGAGAACCGAAACATCGGTTATGAGTTTCGGGTTTGTGTTTGATTTGTTGGTTGTTTTGTTGTTGTTGTTGTTGTTTTGGTTTTGTTTTTATTTTTTTGCCTGGCCTTTGAAATAGTTTTAAGTGCCTGTCGGTCTCAATGTGTGGTAAGAACGTTGTGCTCCTACAATGCAATAATGCTGTTTGCCATCCTTTACAAAAATCGACTAGCAAAGTTTGTATCTTGGCAGGCAGCAAAAAAAGTTAAAATTGTGGTGTTTTCAGACGTAACGATGAAAAGAGTTGGAAATTATTTTAACACTTGTTGCAATGAATTCTGATGTGCATGTATCTCCATTATGTACAAATTGGAAATTAGGTAAAATGGGTTTGGGTAATATATATGATTAATGAGGAATCCTAAAAGATACCCAAACAGAATGTTAATTCAAATAGGGCATGACTTAAATGTTGGGTTTGAGAAATACCTGTGTATGGTTTGGTTCATTGCTCTTTGAAATTACTGGTTTTCCTCTGTTAAGCCAGATTTGGTACCTTCTACAGGAAGTCTCTTCTGTCAAAATTCTGAATGCATTTAGACCAAAATCTAAGTGAATGCTATTAAAAAAAATTACCAGTATGCATTGCGATGTTGATGTGTCCACTCTTAAAAAAGTCTCCAAGCAAAGAATCTGAGCTAATATTTTTATCACTTGTCACAGTTTTAGGATTAAAAAAACTCCCAACCAAACACAAAGAAAATCCCACCTCACCGTCCAAAAAATCCAAACAAGCCCCAGAGCCCCAGTACTGCAGATATTTTTGTACCAGCCAACCTTGGTAAAGAATCATGCAGTTAATTGATCATCTAAAAAGAATGCTTAAGTATTTTGTCTTGTGTGTCAGTTTTTACTATAATACAGGAAACAGAAACATTTGTGTTTGTGTGTTTTATAACACCTGGAGTTTTTTAAGTGCATCTGCTGTTTATCTTTTCATTCATTTTTTTAATCTTAAAAAGCAGTTATCTAAACTAGTCTAAGGATGTCTTCAGTCATCTCAAGAGAATTAAAAACAAGTAAATTACTTAAATAATTTATTGGAACTTAAAAGTGTTCTGAGACAAAGATATTTTGCAGGACTTAAAAACGTATGTTGATCTTAAATATGTGTGTAAAAGGAGATGCTGCTAACAAATACATTCCAGATTACTGTATAATTTCTGAGAGTTGATTCCCATAAACTCAGAGTTATCATTCCCAAGTGGTTCTTTGTTAACTTTTATTGCCCTGTTTTTTAAAAGGAATGCTCAGCTTTTAAAAAAAGATTTTCATAAGCATGTGTACAGTTTTAGGTAATGATTTTTAAATGGGCAAATGTGAGATAAAGTTGATTTAAAGCATTCTTTCATAAATCTAGAATTCATTAGAATCTGAAATGATACTTAGTAAAATGACTTCTGTTGTATTATTTCAGTTCAACAATGTAAATAATTTTTTTTATTGTTACTCTAGGTAATCTTTTTGTAGAAAATAATCATATTAATGCAAGGTTGTTTTCAAAGCAGTCTGACTTTTATTTCATTTTATACTCTGGAGAGCTTTCATAGAATGACATTTTGTTTGGAAATCTCTATGCTAATAAAAAATGAAGTTTTGTAAGCTGTTTTTTTTGTATATTGCTTTCTGAACAAAAATTTGTGGCTGTTTTAATAATTTTCTTATTTCTCTCTCCCTTCAGAATCATATTTTGGTGACAAAAGTTCTTGTGTAGAAAATGCTAATACATTGAATCTCACGAGTTCTTCTTCTATGCGAGGCCTGAATAGCACATGTATAGGAAAAACACCTCTCTCTTCTGGTAGATCTGGTTGCAGAAGCCATACTCCTCTTATGGGATATTCGGGTAAGATTAACAGCTCTTAGAGGAAACAGTCCAACTTACATTTCTGATGTTATTTTATGAAACAGTTTAATTTTTAATGTGATATGTTAGGATACTAAAATAAACTCAAAACACAATGAGTTTTGTTCTATAGAGAATGCTGCCAAGGAACAATGCACCAACCAAAAAATACTACTTTACATACTGAGTAGATGTTTTGGTATTGCATCCTCTTGCTACTTACTTTGCATTCATGTATGGATTATCAGTGTAGTTAGAATTCAGAGTTTTTTCAAATTGTCCAAAATCAACTTATATTTGTGGCCATATGGACATGCAGTGTGATCACTAAAAAGCCCAAATTCATGCACATCTCTAATCAGAGCTTATTTTTAGGCTTGTAATGCATTGGACATCATATATAACATAATTCTCAAGTTTCTTGAAGCAACTGTTTTGTATTTTATGTTGGCACGTTCAGAGGTGTAGAACACTAGCTCTTCAGAACACTTTGATGGTAGCTGATGCTACACTTTGCAGTGCTTTGTATGAGCAAAATGGTGTTACAGGGTAACGATGCCTTGTGCCATGCTATATGTGTCATATGTGCTCTGGTAATGCAGAAGTAATGGGATTTAAAGTTTTTTCACAGTCTCATCATTTTCAGTTCAGTCTTTAGGATTCTTAAAGACTGAACTGATAATGATTCTTTCATCTGTGTATTTTTTTACCCTTGCTCTATTGTTTGTGATGGTCCTTGATCAATCTTTCATTGATTTATATTGAATGTAACTGAATATATATGACTGTCTTACAGTTACATCCTCATCTGCAGTTTCTGCTCATACTGTTGCATCAGTTATTGTAGCTGTAGTAGAAGGAAGAGGCCTTGCCAGAGGTGAAGTAGGAATGGCCAGTATAGATTTAAAAAATCCTGAGATTATACTGTCACAATTTGCAGACAATACAACATATGCCAAGGTATTTTATGGGTTAATTATTGTGACTTACTTTCTTGAAAAAAGTTTGTGACTAATGGGAAATTAAATTTCTAGTTTGTGGAAAAGATTTCTCAAAAGTGGAAGTAACAAGTTCTAGAAAATATGTGGTGTTGAAAAGCCTGCTCTTTTCCTTAATGTGCCTCAGATGTTAAAGAGGAAAGAATGCTTTTCAAAAGAAAAAAAGCCCTTCTGCAAAATACACTGTTTCTGTGACTGAGATGCCTCATTTTGAAGAGCATTGGGCAATATATGGTGGTAGAACTTGCAAGTATTCTTCATCCTGCAAAGCAACTCTGAGAGCTGCATAAATGTGTGGGGGGGATAATTATAGTTCCACCGTTGGCTGCATAAATGTTCCATCTCAGTTTGAAATGAAATTCACTCAATTTACAGCCAGCACTGCATATTCTACATTAATCTGGGGAGTAACCTCTAGGTTATGCAGCAGCAACATTACTGAAACATCTCATTTTGTAGTTTTGTTGTAGTTATGAATGCTAGAAAATAACATGGCTTTTAGCAGCTTTACAATATTTAAAGAAACAAAAGCTCTATTAGGACAGTAAGTAGCTCTGATATAGGATGTAAACAACCATCAAATCTGTTTAATAAAACAGGTGTTGTATGATGTCATTGTACAATGTACATTATACAGCATTGTTGTACATTACAGTTGTATAATGTGCAATGTTGTATAACGGATTTCTTTGTTTTCTTTTATTTTTAAGCATTAGTGCTTTTAAAGGCTGTTCTGGTCTCAACACACATAGCTACATATTGAACATCCTTTATAACTGTTTCTCACGCCATGGTCAGTTTTAAATATGATTATTGTTTTCCTGCCTTACCATTATAAAAGCTGGCATTTTTATTTGTACACATATGTTCCTAATTTTCCATTTAGATTACTGAATTCTTCCTTCTGTGCTCATACCTGATATTGCATTCACCATCCAGTCCAAAAAAGAGATGCTACTGTGCAACTACTTCTCCCCTAATGTGGAAAATGTCCTAACAGCCCAATTTCTTGCCTTAATCTGTCACACCTTTAACAATGTGTGAAAAAATTCATGTTGCCAGAAGTTTATGTGCATGGAGGAGACAGAGGAGTCCTGTACCTTTTATTCTTGAGGCCTTTCCCCATGGAGTCCCTCAAATTGTTGGAGGACTGCAGCCTCCTTTTTATCCCAGTAAAATCTAAAAATATCCTTTTTATCCAGCTGCAGAACCTTTGCCTATTCCCTATTGGCTGAGGTGCTTGGGAGGTACAGACATCCTAATCTGTCTGCTAAATGTGCCCCTTAATGTGTTCCCCCCACTACAACAGATGATACATGACCATTAAAATCGGCTTCAAGTCTGTCCTGGGTGGGGAAGTTAATATTCATAACTCTATTAAATCTTCGTTCTTCTCGAAGTTCAGGAGTTGAGCATGACCTTGGCTAAGCAGCAGTCCATGTCAGTTAGTAACATTTTTAGAAATTGAGGGTTTGTCCCATTACTTCCTTATCTGCAAGTCTCTGACCCTATCTGCGAGCAGATACACACAATCTGTTCGTAAAGACACATTCATCTTCTTTCAGCAATTCTGTCTTATCTGCTGATCAGCTGTTTTCTTACGCTCTCAGAATCCATGCTTTGCCTAGTGATTGGTATCCAGCCTACTGTATTTTCTTGTGCATACTTTTGGTTTTGAATGTTCTGCAAATAAATTCAGGAAAGTTTTCATGTGTTCTTTAAGTTCTTCAAGACTTGTGATGCCACTGGAAAAAAATTTCCTGGTGGCTAGCAGATATGAAGGGCAGTGACAGCCTTCCCACCCCAAATGCCCTAAGATGATTTATTTTGTGTATTTTTTTTATGCTTGTTTACCTTTTCATTGGGACATCATCTGTTCCTTCTTGCATGTCTTAACTTCTAAGCAGTTAAAATGTAGTCTGGTTTTTCATGTTTCTCCCTTGAGAATTTGTAAATGCTGGTATAAATGAACATAAATGCATAATGTTTAGTCCTTTCTTATACAGTAGAAGAGCATATAGTCTACTAATAAATCTGTACAGGGGGTGTGCATAATGTAAAGCTGGTAAAATATGCACATTTTTAGCCGTGTTAATACTGAGGTAAATGTTACTAGAGGAGGTTAAAACAAAATTAAAAACTAGTCTCAATCCAAAGATTAGTAGTCTTCAGACATGTCGCATTTCTTCATCGTCCAGAGCACGATTAACCTTCCAGCTGCAAGGCCAGAAAGCTGCCATCTGTTGAAATAAGTCCTTCTCCCCTGTCATAGCCATGAAATATAGTTTTGGATATTAATATCTTGCTTCAATGGCAAGCATGATTCTGTGTTCAAATAACAGGGGATAAACTCTCAATTTTGTTTGTTTTTAATTTAGTTTTGTGTATTCTCAGATACATATGAATTTGACTCATTATTGTAGAAGTCAGTAGAAAATTTGGAATTCGAACTCATTCTAAAATACAAGGGTTCTGTATTTTCTTATTGCTGTTCATGATTGTCTAAATATTTTAGATTATTATTTTTTTAATTGAATTCTTTTGAATGTTTTGTTCAGGTTATTACTAAACTCAAGATTTTAACACCACTAGAAATAATAATGTCAAACACTGCATGTGATGCAGGGAATACAACCAAATTGTTCAGTCTCATAATGGAGCATTTCAAGGTAAGATCTAAAATTTCATTCAATGTTTTAGAGTTCTTGTTGATCACTTTCATATGATGGTTGATTTGAGAGTTTTATATAACTTTTAAGATCTTAAGTGCAGGCAGATTTTGTTTTCTATGATTTTCAGGTCTAATTTTAGAATGGTAGTGAATAAACTAAGTGCAGCTCCCATGCTGCTGCTTCTAATACTGACAGTTACAGAGATAGATATGTTGCTGATGAAAGCTGAAAGTTTTTGATTTGTGGCATTGGGTAATTTGAGTAATTCCGAATCCTTTGCTTCTGCCTTGTTCTCTCGACCTGATAGATTAGTGGGGGCTGATGTATCATAGAAAAGAAAAAGGAGCACTGTGAGGGTAAAAGAGGATGAGATGACCTAGTATAAGTAAATTATGAGTATTAAAGCCTCAGAACCTTTAAAGAAACTATTAATTACTACGTGAATTGTTTCATGCCTAGATAGCTGATGGCTTCTTCATGAGTGCTCTTCTGCTTCCTGATCTCTCTCCTCTTTTTCTCACATAAATCTCATGTGCATCACACACCTTCAGTTACATTGACCTGCTTGTGCTAGTAAGCTAGAATGAATACTTCTATGAAGACAGACTGCAGAATCAGTTGATAGATTTCTTGGAAACATGTATCACTAGAAAAATACAGAAGTCTCTCTGATGTAACTTTAAAAACTCATTTCTTTCATCCCCATCTTCACAGAATGTGACTTTTACAACTGTCCAGAGAAAATACTTCAATGAAACAAAGGGTTTGGAGTACATAGAACAATTGTGTGCATCTGAATTTAGTACCATTTTCATGGAAGTCCAATCAAAGTGTGTTTAAATAAGGAAAAGCATACTGTGTCCAGATAAGTTTTTAACAAAATCATTTTTATGTACTCATTGCGTATGTCTGTGTCATGTTGTAAAAGTTAGAAAATCATAACAGATCTTTTTATTTTGCCCTCCAGTGTTTCTGATACATCTAGAAATGTCAATAGAAAGCCTGTTACATAGTTGGGTGGGTTTTTTGAGTTTTCACAGCTTTCCACTTCGCCTTTTTCATTCTTTCCTTAAAGATACCTTTCAAGAGCCTGTCTTTCTGGCCTCAGCAAGCATTTTCAATGTATCAGCAATTTTAAGTGTTGGTATTTGGTGACCAGGGTCTTCAAGTCACATGTGTCTGTTGAAATACATATGTTCACTATATCAGCAATATAGTGTAGACTGTCAAGTGTACAGAGACTTAAACGTTTATAAATATTTGACTTGCAGGAATATATGTTTGCTAGACATGGGTTCGTGCATGTTTGAAATATACTGCTTTTTCAGTGCTATCAACCACAGTATTGGCCAAACCCACAATAGTGTGAATGCTCTTTCTGTAGTGCACTACTTCTGTGGTATTTCAATAGCAGTATTCAACATTCATGAAACATTGTTTCTTTCCAAGGTATTACTGTCTTGCAGCTGCTGCAGCTTTGCTAAAATATGTTGAATTTATTCAAAACGCCGTTTATGCTCCTAAATCACTCAAGGTGCGTTTCCAGGGGAGTGAAAAAACAGCTATGATAGATTCATCATCAGCACAAAATCTTGAACTAGTGATTAATAACAGAGATTCTCGGTAAGAATAGTTCTTACAATTTATGTTTTTATAAAAATGGATTTGACTAAGTTTCTTTGACATTTGTGTCAGAGAGCTGACCATTATTTCTGTATGACAGAACCATTCACATATTCTAAAAAAAAATATTTTGACAGAGAAATGCATTACAATTCAGCACCATATTTCTAGCACAGGAAATCCTGAAGTGAATTGTAGAAGGAGAGAATGCATAATCATCTTTACATTGATGTGTGTGTTTTATTCAGACTTGAAAATTTTATTTATGCAAAATTTCACAGAGTATGAAATGAAAGAGGCACTATTTCTTCAAGATTCTTATGTTGGATTAAAATGCCTACGTTTTACTCATTTTACAGAAGATATATGCTTCAGCCTTGAGAAGTTTTTTTAGATCTAATAGTGGGAAAGAGAGTAATTTCTATAATGATGGGAATGTGCAGTGTGGTACTTGACTGCATGGTAGTTTTCCTCACTGAGATCAATGCTTGGAGCACTTCCTTCATCAGTAGTTGCCTCGTAGGCAGAAGAAACTTCAAGGCTTACCTTCTCCAGACTGTTAGACTTATGGTTAGCAAGAAAAACACTCGGAACTTGTGTTTTGCTGCCTGTCAGGTTCTGAGATCTACCTCTGTTTGGATGTCCACTTAATCACACTGATATAAAAAGGGGAGCCTGGAAATTCCTCACTCTCCAAGTACTGTTCATAAGACCTTTCTGCTTGGGGAGATGCAATAGAACCACAAAATGCCTTACATGAGAAGGTACTTTTGTAGCGATATTTTTCTGAAAAAATATTTTTCTTTTCCTAATTTCACAGCTGGTTTTGAGAGGAAGGTGGTTACAGGAGGAACTGAGCAACAGTAAACTGCTTTAAGTTTCTGCGGGTTTTTTTTTTAACATTATTGTTGCAGAATTTTTGCTGATCCATTGGCAAGTTTGAATCAGCCAAACATAGCTATTTTTGTTACATAGATCTTACTAATCTTACTAATTTGCCTGTAAGTGTCTCCTGACACTTGATATCTTGGAGCCTGGTTAGATATATTTGTATTAGGTATCAGCAGGTTAAAGTTAATAGCACAGGCACACACAAGAAATAACTAAGTCGAATTTGTGTGCTAGTCTTAATTCTGGAGGGACTTGCCTTGCTTCATTTAACTATGCAGGGAAATAAGTCCTCAGGTGCCTAAAGATATTCACTGTATATACTCTCCCAAATGTAGAGTTCCACTTAAGTGCTGTCAGGGGTTACATCATGCAGTAAGTGCAAAAAAAACCCAAAACCAACCCTGAATACAACTGGGTTTGAATTTCCTTTTTTTATTATTATTTTTTTATTATTTTTTTATTTTTATTTTCCTGACTATTGCTTTTTTATACCATGGTATTTCAGGGTGTTTCTGCTCACTCCATCTGTCTGTCTACCTACCTACCTTTCTATCTTCATGGTGTTTGTTTTGTGTGTTTGTATCAGGTTTCTTCCTATTTGAGTTCTGGTTTAAATCAGTGTGCTATTACGGCCCTGTTATTTCATGAATCTTCTTTCAGCCAATAGCATAGAAGATTTCAGGTTTCTAAAACTGTTTAACTGTGTAGTAGGTGTAAATATTATAGATGGCTTATTCTACACCTATGCAATCACCATTAAGTGTGAAACCCTGGGATATGTAACATGTAAAAGCCATAAAGATGAAACTAATACTTACAAATTATAAGCATGTTGTTTAGCTCCTGTATTGACTGAAAAATGTTCTTTAAAAGAATAAAACCAAAAATTATTTCTTTTTGACTTCTAAGTAATTAAAATTATTTTCAGAGATGTATTTCAACTAAATTGTTCTGATTAGTGTTTGATCTCTGATTGTAACTTGGTAATTTGCCTCCTTGTGTAGGGTTGGTTTGTTAATTTTTAATTAGTTTAATTGAAAGGGAAAATGTGAACTTTACCACAGTTGCAATGGAATGCTACTACAAAATATGAATAAAATACTAAGTACAAATGTATTTCTATACTTATATAATTGAGGGCTAATATTATATTAAATTGCATTGAATTACCTAGCTTCCTCAACTGCTGTAGTTCATATAATATACGTATCAAACAGGGAGATGCTAAGCATGCCAAAGCATGCCTCAGATTTGTAGGATACTCTTGCCTGTAAACGTCTCCTGACACTTGATATCTCTTTTTCTTGGTGTATGTATTCTTCATATCTATTTTATTTTCAAAGGAATGGTCACACACTTCTTGGTGTTCTAAATTATACTAAAACTCCCGGTGGAAGTCGAAGACTTAGATCTAATATCCTGGAACCTCTAGTTGATGCTGAAACAATTAACACAAGACTGGACTGTGTTCAGGAATTACTCCAGGATGAGGAGCTCTTTTTCGGTCTTCAAGCAGGTAATAGTTTATTTTGTAACACCTAATACTATATTTCTTTCGAAACATTTTTTTCTAATGTAGGAAAGTATGTAGTGCTACTTGGTATATTTGAAAAGTATTTTTTAGTGGTTTGTTAGGTGACATAGTGAACACTTAATTTTTTGAGGTAATCTGTATTATCATAGTGGTACTTCTCTCAAGTATTTTGCTTAGAAAAGTTGACTTTCTGTGATAAAGTGTATAGAAGTCTGTGAGCCAACAGCTTTTTAAAGGAGTTGGAGTTTGTCTCTTTATCTCTGTGGCTGGGCATGCATTATGTTTGATGTATACAAGTATGTGTAATGTACACATGAAAAAGCAAACACATTGGTTAAGTAATACTTGCATATAAATATTTTTTTCCTGTTACTTCATAAAACATATGGTCTAAAGAAAGGTAAAATACAATACTAGAATTAGTCCACCTAAAACTGGATCATATAATCTTTATCTGTGCCAGAGGAGAAATACAGTTAAGTCTAAGAAAAAAAAAGTATTTCTGAATTGACAGATGTCTACCTATACAATGAAATCAATGCATGCTTAGATACAGTAAGTTGTAAGTATAGTTACAACAAAATAATTCAGATATTAGCTGTTTTTAAGCTAGTTTTTACCCTGTAAATAATTTGTGACAGTAGAATATAAGGAAAAGATCAGCATTAGTATAGCTAAGTAATTGTGTGCTTTCAAAGAAAATACATCTTCTTACAGTTTCAGTTTAGTTTCAGACGTGTATACTTTTATTTTACAGTTATCTCAAAGTTCCTGGATACAGAACAACTACTTTCAGTTTTGGTACAGATTCCAAAGCAGGATACAGTATGTTTCAAAATACACCTTGGAAAATCATTTATCTGTCTATAACATACAATATATAAATGTGATGTCTGTAATTCATCTTAAGTTATGAAAATGTACTTCCAAAAATGTTTGCTCTTCTCATCAACTCTGGTTGATGAAAGACCAACTCCCCACCTTTATTCTTCATAAGTGTACATTTTACTCAACTTTACTCAGATGAGAGAGAGGAATTTTCTTTGCATCAGCATAGAAAGAGAAAATGTTTAGTGACTTACAGTCCTAGTGACTGTTAGGTCTAAAAGCAAAATTATTTTTTCATCAGATCTTGCCTCATATATCAGTCTGTATGTTAACACGTCATACAAATATCAAAATGGAATAAATACATGTAGTTCACCAGTAAATCTTGGTTGAACCAGACTCAACATTAACTACGGTGAGGTTGAGGTTACTGAACCTCAGCTTTGTTTCCACTAAACATATTGAAACCATGGTGTTAAAAGTTACATTTGACTACTGTACTTGAGTTGGATATTTCTGCCACTGCTTCTGAGGTTGATGACTCCTTATGTTTATGCTTGTGCCAGCATCTTCGATACCCACAACTCTTTCACCTCTCAGTGTCTTCTCACATGCTGATTTCCCTACTTAGATATAGGATTTGTGTAATTCTAATTAAAGAAATCAGATACAGACTCAAACAGGACAGTTATAAATGCAGATAAATCTCTTTAATGGCATAATCAAAACCCAGAATGTTTATGGCTCCCAGCTTTCCTTGTAGAAATGTGTAACATGAATTTGTGAGTTCATCTATATGACTAAAAAGGTCACATAGGGTGCTTTTATGTATGCATAGCACCATGTATACCAAACATTTTTACTGCAGTGTTTTCACTGTTGACTGGTTCCAGTATAGCAGAGCTTACTATTCATGGAACAGATACGCTTATTCAAGTGCTTTGCTTTTATCAAATGCTAGATTAGGCAAATCATTATGTTTCATTCCTACTCTCCATAAAAATTTTCATCGTAAGCCTTCAACCAGTCAGCAGATGAGATGCACATCTAGAAAGCCTAAAGTTCCAGTTACTAAATGTTTGAGTGGTATGTCCAGCGTGAGTGTTCTCTCATCCTAAGGAGGCTGTCAATCACACAGAATCACCAAATCACTAGGTTGGAAGAGACCTCCAACATCATCGAGTCCAACCTGTGCCCTAACACCTCAACTAAAACATGGCACCGAGTGCCACATCCAGTCTTTTTTTAAACAGATCCAGGGATAGTGTCTCTGCCACCTCCCCGGGCAGACCATTCCTGTACTTTAAAAAATAAGTTTGGAATGGTCAACTTTTTTTTAATAACTGCTCTCTCTTCCGGTTATGTCATGCAGTTACAAAGTAGTTAGGAAAAAGCATAAGTTTCTGAGAGGGACTAATTGTCTTTTAAAAAAAACATTCGTATCCATTACATAAGTAACATCTGGCACTTCAAGGGGACTCCAAGGGACAAAAGCCTTATACTTCAAAAACTGTGCTCAATCCAATCTTGCTGAGATGTGGTACTTGAAAGATCATGTCAGTGGTGAAATCATTTATTGCCTTTGGGCTTAAGTGTATCATGTGCAGAGGTTCACTTTTAACACTAGTCCAATTAAAATTCTTGTAAGAACTAATTAATCAAAGATCCATTCCACTACCACTTTCTCATATATGACCACATCAGTTCTTTTGATCTCTTATTCTTTCTGGGGATTTAAATCTCATATTTATTTGGAGATGCATTTAGCACTGTTTAGTTCTGTTTTTTACAAAAAAAACCCCAACCGTTATATGACTGTAAGATAAGAGATGCTCTCCGTTGCAAGAGTAAAGAGATATTATATATGAATGAGGTAAGATTTCACATAGGGTCATGCTTCTATGTTCATGTCCAATCTGTTTATCTGTGTTATTTCCTTAAAATCCTGTTGCACAGTGCATGTGTACTGCAAATGCTGTGCCCTAATGTCAGCAGCAAAATTCTTTACCATGAGTGTTAACGGCCCATACCAAAGAAGGTTGAAGGTTTCTGTGAATGAAAGATTTTGAAGAACAGTCATTATTGTGAGAAAAATGTTAAAATAGTTACTGGATATTTTCTAGTATCATTTGAGCAGATGTTTAAGGATGTACGTATATTAACCCAAGAGAAATCAACCAAACCAAAATGTTGTGTTTAACAGCATTAATGGAAAAAGGTTGTGTGCTTCATCATAATGCATAATGTATTTGCTTTGAAGAAGTCTAAATTGTGAAGAGCTTGTATAGGGTTAAGTATACGTAGAAGATGAAAAGTTTTCACAGTTTGGGCTAGCAGGGTGTTCTTAGACTCAGTCATTATCAGTTCAAACATAAGAAATCTTAACTACTGATGGACAAACTGTCACAGCAGGAGGTGTAAAATTTAGGTTAGCATTTTTTGTGCAGACACGAAGTTGTCAAAGTGAGCTTATGAAGCATTTCAGGAATTTCTATTAAATGTATAAGCCTGTTACTGTTAAGAATATGAATTCTAATAGTTCTTAAGTACTTTTTAGAACATACAAATGCCTCCAATATTCAAAAAATTTTTGAACAGGTTAAAACTGCTGAATCAAAAATAACTAATTTAATCTACCTGAAGCATACTTTAGAACTCGTGGAGCCGCTGAAAGTAAGTGGTCTTTGTTTGTTGTTTTGTTGTTGTTTTTTTTAATAAGGTATAGACCATTTTGTCCTTATTTTTATGAAGTGTAGTTTATTAAATTTCATAGAATATTTCAAATCAGAAGGGATCGATAAAGTAAAAAAATAATATGATTACAGAGCACAATACTGCCAACATAGTACGTTGTTTTTAACATAGGTCAGAAATACGCATTTGTGTCTATACTGTAAAGAGCAGGATTCCTACCATTACCTGAACAATTGATTATATAACATTTAACTGAAACTCCTGCTCAGATCCCACAGTTTCTGGCTGATTAGCCTTACTGAATCTGAAAACATTCAGTCCTTTAAAAAAGCTGCAAAAAGCAATAACTGCCATGTCCATATTTTTATCTTCAACAGGCTGCTATAAGAAGCTGTAACGCACAGCTGCTAAAGGCTTATTACAATTCTCTTGAAGATACAAGGTATTTATCATAATACTTAGCTACTGTGTTGGAAACTCTCATCTCAAAAGTGCCTGTAAGATAAAAGATGTTGCGTCTTTACTTGTTTATAGTTATGGGTATAGCTCAGTTCTTCTTCTTAACGCTGATTTTAATTGTCAGAAAATTTAATTTTCAGCTAATGAATGCAGTGACAAAAGCAAGAGAGCTAGCTGTGATAGTGGAGTTCTTGCTGAACTCAATTCCCTTAGAAATAATTCTGAAAGGACAAGAGTATTGGCTTCCTAGAGTATCCATAATAATGCAAAATTCAAGTGTTGTATGTTTGAAAAAAAATACGTATTTGAGAAATAATTTATATCTCCCAAAGATGTGAACAGTATTTTTAGTCAGACTTTGGTATAGTCATGGTTCATTCTGAGGTGAAAATAGAAATGAAATTTCCAGTTTTATTTTAACAGTAGAAAGTTTCAAAGTTACTTCACTTATTTATTACTGCTACTTGTAATTTGGGGATGATATTGCAAGTAGAAAATCATGAAGTATTATGTATCTGATCAGTAATACTGCTGATGTTGCAGATTTGGAATTATACTTGAAAAGATTACAACTGTAATTAATGATGATACAAGATACACAAAAGGATGTCTAAGTATGAGGACCCAGAAGTGCTATGCTGTTAAGCCTAACATCAATGAATTCCTTGACATAGCTCGCAGAACATACACAGAAATTGTTGATGACATAGCAGGTATTTCTAAACTAAAATTTGTATTTATTTGGGGTTTAAAATACATTGCACTTGACCTATAGAAGCCATGTAATTGTGTTATAACCTTCTTGTATGTAAAAAGTATTTGGTATTGATATGAATTTATTGTCTTTGATAGGTAACTGAGATTCTCCATGTCTGGATAAAACCTCTGTTTTATTTTAATAAAATTGAATAATTATATGGTGATTTCTATATTCAAAGCTCTGTTAGTCCTTGTCCTCTTAAAGCGCAATAAAGTTGAACTAATGGAACAGAATTACTCCACCTAAAACATTCTGCATAAAACATGTAAATCCTTGGTTGAGCGTCTTCATTTAAAATGTCTGAGTTATTTGTTCTTTATATTTTAAGCAGTCTTGATCTATCTGTGGACTGCCTTTTAGCTGAGGTATTAAGAGTTGGAAAATACAAACAAAAGGAAGTTTTAGCATGTCACGCATTACTGTGTTTCAGTAATCTTCCTGTTTATGTCAAAATAGAAGAAAAATACCCAGTTTATTCTGAAACTTATTTCCTTTTTTTAGTATAAATTGTTGATTTTTTAGTATAAATTTTTTCATCTTAGTTTAGTATATAGTCTATAGTCGGAAAACTAAAAGAGCATCAGAAACTTTAGCACCTGTCATATATTTTGAAGTTCCTGTTTTATTCTAATCCCACATTCATGTATAGTGAAAGATACAGATGGTACTGCTTTTTTATTTCTAAAAGCTTTCATTAGCGGTTTCCATCTTCGTACCAGCACACGTGTGTGTGTGGGGGGGATGTACATTAATGTATATAATTAGGGTTAAATCTTTGTATATGGTACGTAGGTATGATAGCACAACTTGCAGAAAAATACAGCCTACCAATGAAAACGAGTTTCAGCTCCGCTCGTGGATTTTTTATCCAGATGAATGCTGATTGTTCAACATTACCTAATGGCCAGCTTCCTTCAGAATTTACAAAGGTATCTGTACAAAATATGTTTTAACATAATATATTTGTATACTTTATTTACAATATATAATACATTAATAAAGTACATAGTATGCAGTAAGCAACAATAATAATAATTTCAGTGAAGATATTTAGAAGTAAATGAAGTTTTAACTGGGATGTTTATAACTACCCTATATTCAGTTATATAATCAAAAAAGTACATGCAGTTATGTTTTGTGGAAGAATAAAGTTGTATATCGTGCTAATTGTTATCTTAAATGGAGTTTTCCTAAAAAATTACATGGTAAAAATGAAACTGGGCCATGTTTTTTCACTTTTGTTTCCCCATATGGTTCTGAATTTGGTTTTTAGAAGCTGTTTTTCCTTCCAATAATAAGGCAAGCTCTTATTGTTGTTTTCAATTCCCCGCAGATCACAAAAATGAAAAACACATATAGCTTCACTTCAGCAGATTTAATAAAAATGAATGAAAGATGTCAGGAGTCCCTGAGAGAAATATATCACATGACCTACTTGTAAGACCTGTTAAGAACTATTTAATATTTGCTAAGTATGTTTATTTTCTCCAATTATCAGCTATTTACATGGGGTTTTAAAGCTATCTTTATGTTAAGTAATGACTACTTACAGAGATTGTCTAAAGCAATACTGTTCAAGTATACTTCCTGAGACAAAAAAAAAAAAAAACCAAAAAAGCAACATAAACTGTGTATTGTATTAAATATGATGGCAAACATATTGGCATTTATTAATAAGCGGTCATCATGTAAAATTTCTAGGGGTGAATTATCTGTGCAAAATGGCACAATGAATGCATTAGTTTTGCATCACTAATGCAGAATTGTTACTTTCAGTCAGTTCCTTATATTTAGAGCAGAACTGTCTATTTCTGTCTCTTGTCCTTGCAGCATGTCATGTTGCTCTCCTCACTGATTCACAACTTAGTAAGTGTAATGTTACCTGTCAGCTGAATGGAAATTCTTTCTAGCAGCCATGTGGGGTTTTTTTAACTTGAGGGTCTAAGGGAATTAAAGTTGTATTTCTCATGTTTATAGAACATACTTGATTCCATAGCTATATTTTTTGTTCATTCTCTATGTGAAGCTTTTGTATGAGCAGTTGGTATTCGAGGTTGTGTCTTGTGTCTGATAGCAGAATGGTAGCTGAGATGATGGTACAAGATCTTAATTTACTTCAAAGAAATTTATACATTTGCTCGCATCTGGTAGACACAATTGCGTTTTATGAGTGACCTTTTATCCTAATGTATGCAGTATGAAATTATGGTTCCTTTACTTCTGTAAGTTGTATAAAGCGACAGGATGTGCCATGCAACAGCTAAATCAGTGTCCTATTTCAGAATAGTGTGTAAACTACTGAATGAGATTTATGAACACATTCATTGCCTATACAAGCTGTCTGACATTGTGTCTATGCTGGATATGCTGCTTTCATTTGCCCACGCCTGCACTCTTTCTGATTATGGTAGGTTTCTTCTTTGATTCTCTTATGGGCCAGATAGAGACCTTTCTGATGGAGAATACCCAGGCTGTTTTGTCTGGTTCAGTTTCTTTCTCTGTGTCTCACTACTCTTCAGATGAGCATCTCTGGTCTGTCTTTGCCGGTTCTATGCTGATGTTCTTTCTGCTTCCCTTCATCAAAATTAAATTCGCCTAGCTAGCTGCCGCAAGCTTTTCCAGTCACTCCTCTCAAAACAGACAGTTTAGGCGTTTTCTGTTCAAAAGCATGAAGTGCATGGACATTCTCTGTTTATGCTTTTTGCTGGTCCATTAGTGCTACATGTAATCGGTTCAGGAAAGACTGAACCTGACCGAAAATCTGATAGAAATCCATGGAGATGGTTGCAGCATCAAATGGATCTTTGTAGGCATGCCATATTGCCAAATAATCAATATGGTAACATATAACAAAAATAGAAGGAATGCTACTTTCTAGTTTACCATGCAAATACAGGGTGCATAGGTAGGAGTAACAGGAGTCCACGACCCTTGTACTTTATAAAAATACTTAAGCTCTTTGCATTTTTATTACTGGAGTCTCAACTTACTAGGGAACAAAACCACAGAACATTAATTTAGAAATAAAGTTTTAGTTATGGGTTCCTTTTTGTAGTCATAAATCGTGAAGGATTGAAGGGTAATCAGAATCTGTACCTGAAAGTGGCTGGTAATTCTTCCCAAGAGCTGTGCTCTGGAAGAATTAACTTTATTTCAAAGCACACTAATTTAATAATGTAAAGGTTCCCACACTAACTCCTCAGTGTTTTTCATCTTTTATTCTTGTTTAGTTCGTCCAGAATTTACCGATACTTTAGCAATCAAGCAGGGCTGGCATCCCATTCTTGAAAAGATAGCTATGGAAAAACCTGTGTCTAACAACACATACCTGACAGAGGGAAACAATTTTGTCATTATTACGGGACCAAATATGAGTGGAAAATCAACATACCTGAAACAGATTGCTCTCTGTCAAATTATGGCTCAGATTGGTGAGTAGGAGTGTACAATATTAATCATCTTCTGCAGCAACTTTTCTTTTCCTGGTTACAAATATTTATGAAATTGAATGATCTAGCTTCCAGAATAACATTATATCTAAGTAAAATACTGACAGGTAATTTGTAGTCCATTTTCTTCTACCAGCTCTTGAGTCGCTTACAGAGGCCACTGTAAAGTTTCTTGTCTGCCATTGGAAGTTTACGGGGCTCCATCTGCGTATCTTGAAGCCTCCCCAATCTGTTTTCAGAGAAGCACAGTTGCATGCCCTAGCTCTTTGGAGCACTGTAACCCAATCTAGCACCTTATGCTAGATGGATAGTGAGTGTCCTTCCAGTATGTTGGTCAGACACGTGTGTTAGTCATCCAAAAGAAACACGTGACCTTGAGTATACCTAAATTACATAGAGAAACATGTTTCCAGACAGGTATAATTAATAGATAAATAATCAACTACTTCAAATAAGAGTAGTAATAAATACTGCAAGGTTCTGTACTAAAGTCATTAAAGGAAACCAACTATTTGTAAAGTCTAACTGAGACTCATTCCTGTATTCAGGAATTCCTCATGACTTTTTTCTTAAAAGTAAGTCTGGTAGCACAAGTCAAAGACGTAACTCTATAGAATGAAGCTACTTAGCAAGTGGAGAGTAAAATTTATGCATCATGCATTTGTGGGTTCAGTCCCCAATAACTGCAAGTTCTTGAAGAATTGCTCTCAAAAACATGAGTTTAAAATGATTAAAGCAGACCGTGAAGTTTTTGGCAATAGGTTCCTGTTCTTTCCGGTTTGGTAAAACTACTATGCTTGGAAGTCCGATAAAGGCAACATAATCTTAATTTTGGGAAATTGGCGCTTCTTGGGATTAGTAAATTAGTGACCACAGAAATGTTAAACAATCCTAGAGTTCATTGTTTTGTCTTCATCCCTTTAGACTGACAAACAGCTTCAGCCATATGATTTCCTACTGGTTTCACTGATAAGCTTCTTTAATTATCCTATCTCTATAATAACTTTTTTCTTATAAATTAGTGGTAGAATGTAATCTTAGAAAACATTATCAAGTAAGATGCATTCTCTGCTGTGCACAAAAGCCAAGTGTAAAAGTAATTTTTTTCCCAGTGATATATTCAGGCAAATGTCAGAGCGATGAGAGAAACTTGTGTTTTGCTTGCTTTGTAGGTTCTTATGTCCCAGCAGAGTATTGTTCTTTTCGAATTGCTGAGCAGATTTTTACCAGAATAGGTATGGATGATGATATTGAAACAAATGCATCAACATTCATGAAGGAAATGAAAGAGGTATGAAATATAGCTATCCAGGTCCAAGGCCCATTTTTATTGTTAAGCTAGTAGAAATTGTACTAGTATATTTTCACTGAAAGAGTGTACTTTAAAAAACAATCAAAAATTCAGCCTTCATCTCTTTTATGATAAACTGTAGAAAACCAGGCATCTCTTAAATAGAAAGATATTCCAGTGCGAGTGAAAATCAGTGCTTTGTTGGATAGTATTTTCAACACTTTTGCATTTGCTTAGAATTTAAATTATCATTTGTAGGGGCCTAAGCTCTCTCAGTTTCCTTTCACAAACTGATACCATTTTGAGGGTAAGCGATATGTGCAGTAGAAAAGAGTGGTGTAGCGTGAGTCTTTGCTTGATTAGAATTGACAGCTGTTTGAAAGCTTGGCAAAGGTAAAACTGTATCTCAAGAGATTTTTTTAAAAATTCTGCATTATGTTCCATCTGAATAACATAAAAAATTCCTTTTTAAAAGACCCACATTTATAAGAATGATAACACTTTGAATATTTTTCTAGATAACGTACATCCTACAAAACGCTAATGATAAATCACTCATCATTATTGATGAACTTGGCAGAGGTACCAGTGCCGAAGAAGGTATTGGCATTTGTTACGCTGCCTGTGAATATCTGTTGAACTTAAAGGTAATTCTGTTTTGAAAGAAATTTAAGGGGGTTTTTTTGTCATCCTGAAACTAAATACAGTATTCTCTCATGATTTTACATCAGTTTTGCAAAGATTTCTTGGCTAAATACCAGTGAACAGTAAGAATTACAGTGATAGGAAACATGCTGACATAAGCTGTAGTTCTGTTCACTGGTGGTTGTCATTTAAGCCCAGTCGGCTGCTGAACACCACTCAGCTGCTGGCTTGCTCCCCATAGTGAGATGGGAGAGATCAGCAAGGTAAAAATACAAGAACCCATGGGCTGAGATAAAGGCACTTTAGTAACTAAAGGAAAGTCATATGCAGAAGCAAAATAAGGAATTCTTTCACTGCTTCCTATCAGCAGGCAGATGTTCAGTTGTTTCCTGCAATGCCATTTCCTCACACTGACCGCTGCCAGAATGCTGAATGTCCCTCCTTCCTCCTCACAGTTTTTATTGTGGTGGTATAGTATGGTTTGACATCTCCCTGGGGTCAGTTTTGGTGAGCCATCCTAGCTGTGTCCCCTCCCAGCTCCATGAACACCCCCAGCCTGCTTGCTGGTGGGGCAGGGTGAGGAGCAGAACAGCCCTTGGTGCTGTGCAAATGCTGCCCCGCAGCGGCTAAAACATGGGTGAGTTATCGGTACTGTCTCGGTCACGAGTCCAAAACAGCACAACAAAAGCTAATACAAAGAAAACTAAATCTCGTCCATCTAAAACCAGTACACTGGTCACCATATCTTTCCAACTTGCTTGCAAGTTGTAGCTCTGTCTAGAAACATAAAAACCCAGTCTGTTTAGTTTTGCTAATTTAGTTTAGTTTTAGTTTTGCTTTGTGCTTGAATGTTAAAGGCAGACCTCTTTACCTGGTGGTTACCTTTCAAAGTACAGTGGTAGTTCCACACAACTTACAAATTGGTCACAGAGGTTAGAAACTTGTTGAGAAAAGTGGAAGATAATTTTAGATGGATTGCAAGTTTCGCCTCTATTGCTAGGTATGTGATCAACCTCAGGCGGCTGTTACAAACCTTTTGAGTGTGCAGGTGTTTGTTTCTCCTCAGAGTTTATTCAGAGGATTTTTGTAGGTTTTTTGGTTTGAGAAGCTCATATACTTTCTGTCACTTGTACTTTTGATAAAGAATTCCTTGAGAGAATTAAGCAACCATTTGACAATCATTCCAGTCGACACCAGTCAGATTTTGTAAGCATTGTCGATTTTCTTTTGTTTCTGATACTGTTTTCCTTCTATTGAGAAATGAGCAGGAGAATCCCCAGTTGGAAGAGATGTACTTGCCTGTGGTAGAACATATCTCTTAAGGATTTTTGTTTGCTTTAGTAATGTAAAGACAGCTTTTCTGTGTTTCGGAGGAAAACCCGGACATCTGTGAGATTGTTTAATTTTTCTTATCTATTATAATTTATATCTGGATCATTGCCAAAATTAATTTTCTTTCTTGTTTCCTTGTTTAGGCATTTACACTGTTTGCTACACATTTCCTGGAACTATGTCATATAGACGCTTTATATCCCAACGTGGAAAACTACCATTTTGAAGTGCAACATGTGAGAAGCAGTGCTGGAAATAAGGAGAAAATTGCTTACACTTACACACTTTCTAAAGGATACACAGAGGAAAAGAACTACGGTAACGGATTCCACCATGACTTACAGTCGGCAGAAGTTACATGAGATACTATTTCAGTTATTAGGCACCTAGCAGTATTTTTTCTGATGACAGGTTTGTCTTGCGTTTGTGTCTCTCTCAAAGAGAGAGAGATATAGAGATCTGCAGAGCTATAATTTGTTCCAAATAATTGCACGTTTTAAGTAACCATGTAGTGAGATAGTGGTTTCGGGTAGTATGAAGAACTTACGTGATACTTCATAATGGAAAAAATATCTTACTGATGTTAGTACCTCCTTGATTCATATCTGTTTGAATGAGTTTAGTCATTTTGAGCATACGCTACTAGAGTTCATTTCGTCTGCACTTAGGGAAGTGAATGATTGTTCTAGAGAGACTTAAAGATGTTTCTGCCATAAGCTGTGATGTGACTGGTTAACAGCAGGTTGGCCCTTTTTGATCAGCAAAAAGGAATCGAGATTCTTTAAAAAAACGAGAGGAATTTTATGGTATATTAGGCTAAGACAGTTATGGGTGGGTCTACAAAAGCATCAGTGTTCTCTGAAAAGTGGATTTAATTCTCTTTCATCTTTAGACTAAATTATAGTGTAGATTGTATAGGTTGATTAATTATGGGTCAGTAAAGACAAGAGTGAACGACAGAGAGTTAAAAAAAATCCATACGTTTCCAAATACTAGACTCAGATGTTGATTCCTTGATTTAATTAACATTTAATCAAAAGGTAATTAGCTACACGTGACTTTTGCAAGCTATTGGTAACTGAAGACAAGTAAATATTCCACTTAAGCTTCAAGTAACAGGACTTAAAACTTTTCTTGATCAGAATTTCAGCATAAGGTTGTTTAACTTCGGCAGCACAAGGTCAATTTTAAACGCTACACCACCACTAACTTCAAAGAATTGTTTGTTTAGAGAGTAATCTCTGAGAACAGGAGACTTTTAGAAACTCGGTGTTTCATGTCTTGGCCTTACATTACTTGAGCAATGTCACATTCTAAGAAAGCGTGCAAGGGCTCTTCGTGACCCTTTTTTCATTTCTAAACCTGCCATATTGAACCACCCAATATGCCACAGACTTTCCAGAGGTACAGACAAAGGAAAAAGTCAAAAAATCATGTTAGAGCAGGAAAAAATATTTCCGTCTCTTTCTTACCCCAAGTATCCGGAAGTTTGGCTGTTGGCAACAAAGAAGTTGAAAAATGACACCCATATCCACCAGGATGTCTGGATATAATTGAGACTGCACTTAGCAAAACCTCTGTATTTTCTGCCAAATTAAAAAACTGAACCGAGAAAGCTGTTAACATCATGGTGCCTTTTTTTTTTCCTTTTTAACTCCCTAATATGTCTCATTCTACACATTTAAAGCATTGCCAGCAGTAACTTGATGTTGAGGTGTGTTTCAGAGATAGCATTAAAACAGAGTAGACATTTTATTTTGTAACTCTCCGAGCCTTACTGTTTATTAACAAAAAAAAAAAAAATCCAAAACAGAACAAACAAGAAAACCAAAACAAAAAAAAAACCCACAAACAAACAAAAAACCCCCAACAAACAAAAAAAAAAAACCACAAAGAGAAAATATACCAAAATTATTTAAATAATAATTAATTCTATACCCCTTAGGAAAACAGGCGAAGTTAATTCTGGAAGACATAAAATGGAAGGTAATGATAAAATTGGCATAAAAAATCCTGATTTGTGTTTTATATATTTAGGACTAAAAGCTGCAGAAGTGTCCTCCCTACCATCATCCATAATTTTGGATGCAAAGGAAATCACAAATCACATTGCAAAACAAATTTTGGTATGTAGTAGAAAATTATAATTCTGTATTTCTCAGTTTTTATACAACTCAAATGTATTTCAAATTTCTGAAGGGATACGGGATAAGCACTGCCTTTGTTTTAATGAAAACAGATTTCATTAAACTTTGTATTTCTGGAACTAGTTCTGAAAGATTATATTGAAAGTCACTGTTAGCTGACAGCACAAAATGGCCCTTAGGGTAAAGGAATATTGGATGTAATTTTCGTATGCAAACCAATACTGTGAGATCAAAAACAGGCTGGAAAATAGCTAATACTTGTATTTTTATAATAGACTGTCATTTATTTCCTATTTTAATGTATGTCTATTTTTAAGAACAGCACGGGCACAAAAGCACTCCTGAGATGATGAAACAGAGAGCTGCATACCAGTTAGCAATGAGACTGGTTCAGACTGCCAGAAATTCTCGACTGGACCCTGACAGTTTGCGAGTATATTTGAAAGCCCTGAAGAGAAAGTATGAAACCAGTTGTTCCACACCCGTAAAAAATGATGAGCATGAGTAATGTGTAACCTAGGCTGTTGTTCCAGTTTTTATGACTGCAAGATTGTTCTGTTTTTTTCCCACAGTATTAGTAGTGTCTTTTCACATGGTGTTATAATTTTAATTCCTAAACTAAACTTAGTAATGGAAGACCATATCCTTTATGGGTTCCCCCCCTCCCCCAACATACCTGGAATAAAAGCATTTGCCTTCTGTGAGGTACACAATTCTTTTTGACACTAAACTGTATCAGTTTCATCACTTTAGAGCAGCACTGAGAAGAGAGGGAAGGACTGGAGCTGAGTACTAAGGAACTCAGAATTTCAGGCAGAACACAATAGAAAGTTCAGATCGCAAAAAGGCAAATGTGTGCCCAAATTGCCTCAAAGCAGTTTTACTGTCTGTTCTTGTTCAATTGTGTCTTCTGGGACTGACACCATTTTATTCATTGTGCTGTGTTAAACACTTCTCACAATGCCGGGAAACAGATGATATTAAAACTTGAAGGAATTTGGACATGTAAAAACAAGCTGTTCTTCAGAGCAATGTGTTTGATGTTAGTTGGTGGTAAAGGTACCAGGTTTTCCCTTATCCCAATAAAGCTTGTGGGGCTGAAGCTGAAATCACTGGGGCCGGGGTGGGGACTGCAGTGCTGCAGCTGCAAACTCTGTTCTGAGGGGATGGTGACTGCAGATGTGGGAAGCAAGCATAGAATGGTACATAATGAGAAGGGCTGCAAATACAGTAAAGATTGCTTTGGGGTTGGCAGGGGGTTGGAGTGGCATTTCTTGGCCTGGAGGTGAAACCTCAGAGCTGGAACCAAAACAAAGACCCTTTTGTCTCAACCTGGAGCAGCTTCACCTACCAGAGAGGGGGAAAAAGAAGCGGATGTGGAGCTGGAAGAAGAGAGCTTGCAGTGAAATAAAGCTGGTGGGCCAAGAGCTGAAATCACTGGGGCAGGGAAGGGATCACTAGGACTGGAGCTGAAATCACTGTGGGGCTGGGATAGAAACTGATAGTGGGATTGACACGGCTGGGTGAGATAACTATGGTAGTATTCATGCTGAAATCACTGTAGGTCAGTGATACTGATGTTGGAGCAGGGTCAAAGGGCTGAGGTCAAGGGCAAAAGCTCAGGGGTCAATGGTTAAAGTGAAAAGTCAGGGATTCAAACTTCAAGGGTCACGTGTGAATGGTCAGGGTTCAAAGATCAAGAGTAAAGGGTCCAAGGTCCAATGTTACAGGTTAATTTTCCAAGGTTATGTGGTTCAAGGTCAATTATCAGGGAATCAAACTTCAGAGAGCTAAAGTCAAGAGTCGAAGGTCAATGGGAGGTTGCCAGGGAGTTGCAGGGAAGAGGAGTATTTATAAACTTTATCCATATTTCCCTGTACTTCTGGGTGTTTGGATTTCCTTTGTGCTCGTCAGGGTAAGCCATAAACAAGCCCCTGAACTCTGCATTGATGTGTCAAGCACTTCCACAGAAAGGCAAGTCAGCAGTGATTCTAGAGGAAAAATTAGAGGTGATGGCTTATGATCCATGGGGAATTACATTGGGAATTATGAAACTCAAACACATGGAAAATTAACCTGTAACATTGGACCTTGGACCCTTTACTCTTGATNTAGGTCCACGGTGATGCCTAAGGGTTTCAGAAGAGCTCTGAATGGCCACAAGGTTCTTCCTTGTAGATCAGATACAGGACCAAGACCTTAACTGTCCAACAGTGATGGTCATTTTGCAAAGCAGCTGAGGTAGATTTATGGCTTAAATTACTTGGGAGCAGAGCAGGTAGGAGGGTGGCACTGTTTTAACCCACAGTGATCCTTCAGGTTGGAGGTCTTGCTGTGTCTCACAAGTTTGAAAGTAATGCTAGTCTATATACATTAAATATTAGAAATATCATAGAAAATTTCTGAATGCTTCCTGAGGGGAATATAGAAAAGATTATATAACATTTATGTTACTTCAATTGAGAACTGTATATATTTCATACAAAAATATCCTGAGCTTCATTTAGCTTGCTGAGCTGAGTCACATTAATACTACACCTAGTGTCCCATTAGAGTGAGGCAATGTTTAAAATGGTAGTGACTATGGACTGAACTAATTTTCATAATTATATAGATTAATTATTTTTGTTCTCAGCAGACAGATTCTCTCTGCTTATGGAATTGAGGGTACAGGGTCTTCCTGCCTGCCCTGAAATATTTGAACAGTAGTTCTGTGTATGTACAATTCAAGACTTAGCCAGCATAAGTCCTCCTGTTACCACTGGTTTCAGTGCTGAAGGAATGTTTTTGCTGTTGGCAGTCCTGAGGGGTCGTGCCTGGGCTTTGTCCCTGACAAGAGCAGTTCTGCAGAAGCTCAGGAATGAAGTGTGCACGTGATGGGGACACTGGGGGAAGCTGGGGCACTCCCAGGTGGCCCCCAGGCCCTGGGTGGGACATTTTGCTGTTCTCTGTGTGGCTGTTTGTTCATTCTGCCATGCAAATGGCTTTGTGTGCCAATGGTACAGGAACTGTCTCAGCACACCCGAGCCCTCAGCTCCATCCCATCAGCACTGGAGGAGCAGCAGCAGTTCTGCTCCAAACTCCACCTGAAGGTCCTCCCAGTGATCACAGAGGGGAGATGTCCTGTTCCAGCAATACCTGGCAGGGAAATGACAGCTGCTTTGGAAAAGAGGAGCTTTCTGGATTTATTTGTCTTTTGTTGGCAGCTTACTTGTACTGTACAGCTTTTAAAAGAAAGTGTAAGAATTTTTAAAAAGTGAGAAAATGGAAGAAAAAAGTATAGAGGAAAACAGTTCATAGGAAAACAATAAACAGATGCTTGTTCCAGAAGATAAATGCTTTAAATGGTCACTGCTTTGTTTTACTTGGTAAAACCATAGGAGAGCCAACTGGAATGTGAACCATGGTCATAAAGATGGGTTGGGCCCAAACATTATTTAGAAGGAGAAACTCTTAATTAAAATCCAAAGGAATGGGTGAATCAGTGTTGTAAGTCACATGCTGTTCTTGTAACAGAGCAGAATCCATCTCCTAGCATAGGGTTTGTAAAATATGACGCCAAAGGCTCCCATCTTTCAGGGGAAATGTAAAACTTGCCTCTTCTCTCATGACTATTGACATTTTCACTGTGTATTAAGCTCTTAAATCAGAAGAAAAATCAAAATGGATACAAACATTCTCTACACAAAAATCATTATGAAATTCTGGTTCTACTCAAAAACATGCAAAAAATAGATGTTTATACACAATTCAGTATTCCTGGAACATCACTGTTGCTGTTCAAAATTCACTGCACAGTTGGATGTGACTGAATACAGACTGAAAAAAAAAGATTGCCGCTGTTTTTCAGATCTCAGGAAGACATACCTGCATTTTAAAATAGGAACAGTTTTCTCCTGCAGCCTCACATACTATATGCTGTAGATCTGTTGGGCCGTTTTCACAGTGGTCAGAGGCCCAGAAGTTTGCTTACAGTTTAAACTAGTGCCAAGCTGTCTGTTCTGAAGGGATGTCCTCTAAAAGAGGGGGTTCAGGCCAGTTCCAGTTGGCCACTTGTGTTTACAGAGAGAATCTTGTTCCCTGGTTTGAAGTCAGCAGTGGAGCAGAGCTGGTGTTAGTTGGTTAGGGCTGTGTTGCCCCTGTGTTCTGCTCAGCAGTGCTGCCAGCAGCCTCTGGCTCCTGTTGATGCACGTGGGTGATGGAGAGAGGGGTCACTCCCTTTGCCAACTGCTGCTCCTCAGGGAAATTCTCCCAGCAGATCCTTCAGGCCTTACAGTTCTGCCAGGTCCTTTCTGTAACTCAAAAGGCATCAGGATCTCTTTGCTGACACAGTTAAACTTGCTGAAAGAGGTGCATCCATCCATGTTTTACTCAGAATAACGCCAGATCCATTTATCAGGATATTTGTTCAGTCGTTCTATGGGAGCCAAGCTTCAGAGTGGTTGGCACATGAAGAATGATACCTTTTTTTTTCCCCCCAAAGACATAATGCTGCACTACAGTAAATGCTTCCTCAGATATCCAGTAGGACTGAACAGTTTAGGACTCTTGATAATAGTTGGAGTTTTTCTCTTACACGTTCCCAGCTGAAACTGAATCCAGTTGAATAGGTCCAGCATAATGGCAGCTGTACATCAGCTCCTGTGTCAGAGGAGCTAAACCAAGTCAGGTTCTCACCTTAGATATGCCAGTACATTGCTCTCATCAGGTGAGAAACCAAATGCAAAGTGGGTCAAGAAGGAGAACCTCTCATTCATGAGCTCAGTAGATCCATAGGAGTTTGTGTTGTTTCTGTCTATGATGAAACTGTTCATTGGAGACTTTGGAAAGCGTTGTGCATCACTGTTGAGTCTCTTGTACAAACCCAACACCCATTCCAGCAGTGCAAATCCATGCCTCATGTGCTGATGGCCAGAAAGGGTTGATCTGAGGAGCCTGGGGGCTCCAGGGTCTCAGGGCAGCTGAGGTGGGATTTGAGTGCAAGGATGTACAGAGACCAGGCTCCTGATCAGAGCCCCAACACTTTATAGGGCTCTGGATAGTAGAAATGACAATTCCAGAACTGTGTAAATTCAAGGTGTCTGATACAAACAGAGGTGTTTATTTTCTCCCAGAACAGTTCAGTGCTTGCACATTTTTTGTAAGATCCTGTTGATTTACCAGCTGTTTTGCAGATGCTGCTACTTTGCCAGTAAGTGTGAGAAGATGCTCATAATGTTGAAATTATATATGTTAATTTTGGTTTATCTGTCTTCCTAGCTAAGAAGTATAAAAAAGTTACTGGGAAAGAAATCTACTCTGACACTTTAGAAAGCACACCCATGCTGGAAAAAGAGAAGTTTCCACAGGATTATTTCCCTGAGGTATGTACAGAGCTGTGAAGCATTCCCAAATACTGGGTTTGATTCTGGTTTCCTCTGACTACTCTTGAGCAGCTCCTCTCAGTGATAAGGGCAGAATAGAATCTTGGAATTATGTCTGTGGATGTCTTGACACCTGTAGTACATGTTTTAAGTCATGCCATTATGTTCCAAAATGCAGTAAGAAATGCTTGTGAAGGGTGAGGACAGTGATGAAAAGACTTTGTTTGTGCATGTGAAGTGTGGCAGTGTAGCAGTGTGACAGGGTGGCAGTGTGGCACTGTGACAGTGTGGCAGTGTGGCACTGTAGCAGTGTGACAGTGTGGCAGCGTGGCAGTGTG